AGGAATCTTCTAACTCGGAAAGTGAATTTGTACCGTGGAGTATATCGTCGACATAGGTCTGTTCCAAAAGTGCCCTTTGGGCTAAAGGAAATTCACTGGAATTGGAAGCGAGCTCCTTTAGAACTCTGGTCGCCAAAAAGGAAGAGGAGGTAACTCCATAAGTAACTGTGGAAAGTTGTATACATTTGAGGTCTTCTTGTGGGGAGTTTCTCCACAATATGTTTTGGAAGTGAAGTTGTGAAGGATTCATTTTGACCTGACGGTACATTTTCTCTATGTCACAGGTCAGGACAAAGGGATGTCGACGGAAATGGCATAGAATATCATACAAATCTGGTTGTACCTGATAACCTTTATGAAGAATGTCGTTTAAGGAAACACCTGTGGAACTTTTGCTAGAAGCATCGAAAACCACTCTTAATTTCGTGGTCTCACTTGAATCTTTTATTACACAATGGTGAGGAAGGAAATATTTTATTTCAGCAGACTTATTGTTAGGATCGAATGGAACATATTTGGCATGTTTTAATAGCACATATTCATCAATAAAATCTTTGTAAGTGGAAAATAATTTTGGATTATTTTGGAAACGTTTTTCCAAATTCAAAAATCGCCTTCTTGCAACTTGGAAAGAGTCACCGAGTGGGGTCTTTTCGACAGTACACTTAAAGGGAAAGTCGACCTGGAAAGTGCCATCGTTACATCGCACATGTGTTTGAACGAAGCTTTGTTCAGCATATTCTTCGTCCGGCGATAATGATTTGAATTCTGGAAGGTCTTCGATTTTCCAGAATTTCGAAAGAATTTCATCCAATGAGTCCGCAGGCTCGGACGTATTTTGACAAAGGAGCGAGACTCTATTCTCTTTTGAAAGATTTTGCGGAGGTAATTGTCCTCCGATTACCCAACCAAACTTTGTCAACTGGAGAGTAGGAAGTTTCGGACCTAATCTATGGATTTGTGGAAGCAAAATTTCATAATAAACATCAGCGCCCAGAAGCATGTCCACATCGGACGGAACATGGAAATAAGGATCAGCCAATTTGAATACTGTCGGAATATTCAAGCTATTCTTATTCAAACTAATTCTTGGTAACCTAGAAGTAATTACTGGAAGTACCGCACAGGAAACGTTAAGTCTAAAATCCTCATAAGTATTGGAAGCAATTACAATATCTAGCATTTTATTAGAAATTGTAGGAGTGCATTTAATGCCGGAAAATTGGAGTTGGTTATCATAAGTCTTGACATTTAACCTTTTTACAAATTTTTCGGAAGCGAAAGAACACTGGCTGCCATTGTCTAGTATTATCCTAGCCTTGACACGATTACCATCATCGGACAAGACATCTACCACCGCTGTGGCCAATAAGACTTCAGGATCCCCCTTACCTACAAGAAGGGATGATGGCATCGAAGGTGAAGAAAAATTACCTTGAGCTTCAGGCTCGGAATTTCGGAAGGCTACTATATTTTCAGTATTTGGAATTGGAGATTGACGAGGCTGTGCACGCCAGCTTTGAAAGGAATTTGAGTTTTGTACATTTTTAGGAACGGCTTCTGTACTATTTTGGGAAGCAGAATAAGATCTCGCACTATAATTCAGATTTTTGGAGAAAGTATTTGTTACAGAATCTCTATGGAGAAGCGTGTGGTGTTTCTTACCGCACAGGGTGCAATTTCTAGACTTACACTCTGTCAGCAAATGTTTCGCTCCCAAACAATTAAAACACAAAGATTGGGATCTCAGAAATTGATATTTTTCATCAGTACTAAGTTTGGAAAAGTTAGAACATTTATAGATAGCATGATCAACAGTTTTACAAAACCAACAAGTTCGACGGTTACTTGTAGGTGAACTCTGAGAAACATTTTTTATATGTAACGTAGTTTTTGAATTTGCCCTTGAAGCAACCTTCTCAGTTTTTATATCATTGGACGCGAAATGTGAGGAAGAACTTAAGGATTCTAGTGCATTACATCTGGCTTCAATAATTTCGTAGAATTCCTTTAAAGTAGGATCTACTTTTAAGTCTCTATTGGACTGGTACTCCTTTTTAGTACCATAATCTAATTTTTTCATTACTATATTAAGGATAATTAAATCCCAATGCTCAGTTGGGCATTTTAAGTTTTTCAATGCATCTAGGTTTTTTCTAATATTTACTAAAAATTCCCTAAGTGAGGATGTCGTACATTTTGTTAGGTTAGGACAATCTATTATTGAACTCAAATGTGAATTTATAATAGCTAAATTATTTTCGTATCTACCTTCTAATATTTTAATTGAAATGTCAAAATTATCGTTGGTGATTTCCAATGATTCAATGAGAGATAAAGGCTCTCCTTTCAAATAGGACTTTAAATAGATTAATTTTTGGACATTTGTCAGTTGGACATTGTTTTTTATCAAGGCGGTAAACAATTGATAAAACGGAGCCCACTTTGTATAATCGCCGGCAAAGTGGGGTATGGAAATTTGAGGAAGTTTTACACCCAAGTTTTGGTTATTTATTGCGGGAACGGCCTGGCTAATATTAGGATTTGGAATTGGAGACGCAAGAACAGATAAACTATAAATTTTTTGTTTAATAGCTGAAACTGACTCATCAAATTTATTTTGAAAGCTATCTCTATCTTCTGTATCTAAATTGTCTACATCTAGATGCTCAATTTCATCCTGAGCGTCATTATATTTTACTATGTCGGATTCTAATTTATCTAACTTGGTTTGAAGGAGGAATGAATCATTTTCGGAATTTATATTTGAAGTTACCCAGTTTTGGACTCTTGTAATCGCGGATTTAGAATTTTTTCTAGTTTTCTGAAGAGCTTGCATTGTGTATTTTGAACTGAGAAACCCAAGTTATGAATATTATCTTTACAACTAACTCTAGAATAAAAGAACCTCGCAGGGTCCTCGGAAACATGCGCTCTACTTTGCGCGGATTTAAAAACTCACTCGCGACACAACACTAATGCGAAAAGTATTTACACCTAATCGTTTTTCTTTATTATATACCGAAATAGAAAATGTTCATAAATGTTCATAAATTAAAAAAAATCAAAAAACAAATGGAAAAATGTATCAGTATAAAGTATAAAGTCACTTAAAAAAAATAAAAAATAAAAGTAGTAAAGGTAGTCGATTTTATTTAAATGTAATAAATTGAAGGGAAAGGTCTGCTATATTTTTAAAGACGACCCTGGAACGTAAAGATTAATTTTTTCTAATTAGCTTTAAATCGAATAAATAAAATCGACTTTTAGAGCTATTCACCATAAAGTTAAGAAAGAAATTACCTATAATAAACTTAAAATGTAATGTAGGAAAGTATAAAATAAATGCGTAAATAAAATGAAAGAAAATAAAAATTATAGTCATTTATATCTACGAACAGATTATTTTGCTCTCAAAACGATGAAATCGCTGACGCGACATCAAATGGAATTGTTTTGACGGTGACTAATGTGACCTCGGTGAATCGGCGAATTCCGCTGTGTCAGGCAAATATTTTCGCCGCCAGAAGATATCGCAGTTTGGGAGTTTGTATATACAAAATACAATACAGGAATGCAGGAACAAATTATTTTCGTCAGAAAATATCGTCTTATTCGGCTCAAAGGAACAAAATGATGGGGACAGCTTCTCTTTCTTAACCCCAATCACCATACTAGGAATTAAAATTTACTTCTTCGATGGAGTGGCTGTATTTCTCGTATGCAGGTTCAGGAAGAATAAATTCTGACTCAAATAATAATGTTTTATTATCGCAACTTGATGAAGGTGACAATAATCCAGCAAACTATGCGTTTAACATCTCACATTACTGATACCATTGGTAGGTGAATAACTCTGAATTAAAAGTGTACTTACAGTTTCTCAGAACAATACTCACAATACAATCACTGTAACTTTGGAATAATAACGGAAAAATGATAAGGCTGATCAATATATTTAAATTGGTCGCCCGGAGAAAATAAAACATGCGACTTGCATTGTCGGAGATTAGTTTCGGAATGGTAGCGTCCTCGCTAGGCAGGCCGTTCCCGCACAGGTCCGTCTCGGAGATATTAAAAAGGGATTATTGCACCGCAGTTTGGATATGTTCCGAACACTTATATTTAAAAAAAAAACATAATTTAAAAACTTAAATACCTTCTTTCTGCTGTAAATAGAATTTATTTTATGCATTTGTTTAACACGTTATTGTGAACTCACCCAATCGACCTGCTTAACATTAAACTAAATCAATTTTTCTTTTACACACTTAAAGTATTTATTTACAGAGACATTTTTAACTCACGTACAATTTGAATACATGTTTCAGGTTTTTACTGATCCTAGTAATTTGCAGCGCCACATCAGAACCCACCACCAAGGAGCTAGGTCTCACGCTTGTCCAGAATGCGGAAAAACTTTTTCTTCGTCTTCTGGCTTAAAGCAGCATCAACACATCCATTCTTCTCACAAGCCTTTTCAATGTGAAGTCTGCCTAAAGGTAATTTTAATAATAAAGTAATGATAAAGTGCTTCATAGCGTTATAATAAGCAAGTATTTATCTTTCCAGATATGTTTAATTTAAAAATTGTAGTCTTCGATTCTATAAATGAATCGCAATGTTTTCAGTTTAGTTTTCAGGGTGACTAAGGTCTTAAGACAATATTATGTAGTTTTACTTAAACTTTGCCATATCTTATATAATAGTGAAGAGTCCAAAGCACTTACCTTGAAATACACACACACACATACACAATACGTCTTTTTAAATATTATTTGAGTGACCAAGAAACTAAAAACTTTCTTTATTTGTTTCAGTCTTATACGCAATTCTCGAATCTTTGCCGTCACAAACGGATGCATTCAAGTTGTCGAATGAAGATCAGATGCGTCAAATGCAGAAAATCCTTTCCTACACTAACATCGTTATCCAAGCACAAACGTTTCTGTGATCCATCTACTATAGCACCTTTTCCTAGTCGACCTCATCCTTTAATAATGAATCAACCGATGGCTGGCAATAATGGTTTTCCTTTTTACCGACCACTTGGTTGTCCGATACCATTTTTTGCACCACAGTTATCATTTTTTCCTTCTACACCACTTATACCACCTTTGTTGTTCAACCAATTACCCAAAATTGAAGATGATCCTCTTCAAAAAAGGGTTAAATTATCACCCAAGCTTGAGAGATGTTCGCCAGACATGGAAAGAGTAAAAACTGAGATGAGTCCTCCAAAAGGAATTGAAGCTACTGGTTCGTCTTCACCTAGTAGGCCACAGAGTTTTTTACCGAAGGATCAATTTAATTTATCATTTCCATCATTTTCCTGTAAAAGAGAATTTGAAGAAGATATGAAACCTACAATTAATTCGATACATTCGAATGTAAAAACCGAACCCTACTGTAAAACAGAACCTTCTACATTAGCAGGATTTGTACCTAAACCACAATTTCCAATGTATACACCTAAACGAGAATTCAAACGAGAATTTGAAGAAAATACAAAGAAATCATCTGAATCTACATCTACAGCTGAAGAAACTAATGATCAGCCATTAGATCTAAGTGGATGGAAACCAAATAATCGGGTTATAGTCAGTGCCGAAGAAGAGCAACAAGTACCTCACACAGAAGAAGAAAACGTCGATGTACTAGATGTAATCGACGACAATAACATATCTCCTCAAAATGTTTCAGTCACACCCCCTATGGCATATCCAAGGCCTATCCACCCCATGATGCCAGATATTTGTAGAAACTTTCCATATGGTTACCCATCTCCAGCCAACGACAAACTGCTTCCTTTTTCATTTCCACCTCATAGGTTTCCGTTCCTCAACGGTCTTCAACCTCAAAGAATGGAAATGATACGATCGACGGTTAAACCGTTTCAAGATGTTATGCAACAATACACACAAAGCAAGGTGAAAGATAGGTACACTTGTACGTACTGTGGAAAAGTTTTCCCAAGATCAGCAAATCTGACTCGTCATCTCAGAACACATACCGGTGAACAACCATACAAATGTAACTACTGTGAAAGATCCTTTAGTATATCGAGTAATTTACAAAGACATGTAAGAAATATCCATAATAAAGAAAAGCCTTTTAAGTGTCCGCTGTGCGAGAGATGTTTTGGACAACAGACGAATTTGGACAGACATCTTAAGAAACACGAAGCTGACGAAGGAAATGGTAACTATAATATTTTCAATTACTTTTTTTTAACTAATACTACAATTGACATATGTCAATTTTGATATTTCACAAGATTTTGATATTCCACAAAGTTTGCCAGTCCTACCTTCAGTCTTCTACCTAAAACCCGGTGAGGGGGTTCGGGAGGGGAAAAAATTATTTAACAAAAAATTTGCTGAAATGATATTGAACAAAAATTTTTATCAATACTTTTTCTGTAGAATGAACAGTTCTCTCAGAAATAACGCCTGAAGCGACCGGCAATTTTAAATGTCAGTTTTAAATAATATTTGTATCAACTGGACGGTAAAAATTCGATATTTCTTGATAAGAGTGACCTATCGACAAAAATTAAAATGAGTTATAAATATTGTTCTGAAGCTATTTTCTTGTGACATTGTAAATTAATTACTATTTATAACTGGGAATAAGCCACAATTAAAGATAAAAATACGTTTATTGACGTTTCAATTTCCAATTCGGAAATCGTTCTCAAAATACAAACAGTAAATTAAACAAATTTTGTTTTTTGTTACATAGTGAAAAAATTCTTCTAATAATTTAATTTTATCTGACTCATTTATATTGACAATTCAGACATACATTATGCATTTTAAAGTAGACGACTTTAAAATGATATTGCCAATATTGTTGAGTTGCGCTCCTGGGACGACTTTACTTATAAGATAGTTCATTCGATTACATGAAATCAACTTTAACTTGAGAATATCCGTCAGAAAAAAATCATAGCATGTAATTCGTCTTTAAAAAGACAAACACATGACATGATGACAGTAAAATTCTCCTGTTAGTGATTCCATAGTAAATTATGAGGGAAAAACCAGGAAAAAAACCTCATAAGTTGATTTCATGTAATCGAATGAACTATCTTATAAGTAAAGTCGTCCCAGGAGCGCAACTCAACAATATTGGCAATATCATTTTAAAGTCGTCTACTTTAAAATGCATAATGTATGTCTGAATTGTCAATATAAATGAGTCAGATAAAATTAAATTATTAGAAGAATTTTTTCACGATGTAACAAAAAAAAACAAAATTTGTTTAATTTACTGTTTGTATTTTGAGAACGATTTCCGAATTGGAAATTGAAACGTCAATAAACGTATTTTTATCTTTAATTGTGGCTTATTCCCAGTTATAAATAGTAATTAATGAGTTATAAAATTGAAAAATGCAGCTTTCGCATGCAATTTTTCCATATTGTCTTCAGAGCCTTACCTTAAAAATTTTTAACACAAAATTTCGATTTTAAGTTTTCGCAAATATAAGGCATTGAAATATGCCTAAAAAACGCTGAATTTAAACTTTTACATTACAGACAATCTCATGTAACGGGAAATGTCTCCACTAAGACAGCATTAAGTGACATCATAAAAAATGGCAAAAATCACGCAACGATTATTTATTTATCAACCTTATAGATACTGATTTCATTTGCAGCAAAACGTATTAGGAATTGAGTATACGAAAGCTGCATTCTTAACATTTAAAACGCATTTTTATCGATAGGACACTCTGGTCAAAGGATATCTGATTTTTACCGTTGAGTTGATACAAATGTTAGTTAAATTTAATTTAAATTGATTTTACGCTCATATCTGATACTCAAAATCGCCGGTCGCTTCAAGCGTTGTTTCTTCGAGAATTGTTTATTCTACAGAAAAAGTTATAATAAATATTGTTGTTTAAAATCATATTTTTTCAACAAAAATGCTACATTTCTTGTTTGAATCATTTTTTTCACCTTGTTCGTATGATTTTTAAAGGTTCAGAGGCATTTTCGTCCCGGACGAATGGTGTATTATTTCAATAAAGACTTGCATTTCAATAGAGGAACCAAAATCCTCAAAACATAACATCTTTTATCAAAAACGATAATCAATAAATATCTAGAATCTTTCACTAATCCATTAGTCAATTTGCCTTTGTTGATGAACCTAAGGAGTCAAAGAAAAAACGGAAAGTTGAAACTTTACCAATAATCGGCCATTATAACAGTATCATCTGCATATTGAAAATTACTTATTAGTATGCCATTTATGCCTTCATTGTACTTCCAGAGAAATCTTCTAGTGCCCCTAGAGGAATTTTTGTTCCGTGTATAGATTGAAAAGCAGTAGCGAATGTATGCAAGCCTGTCTAATTCTTTTAGTAATGGTTATGTTTTGACTCACCATATTTATGTCTATACTTTATTTGGGCTGTTTGATTTCAATACAGAATAATAATCTGGATATAAGCTTAGTGTCAAATATGTAATAGTTCTATTAGTTTATCATGTTTGATATTGTCAAACGCTTTCTTGTAGTCGCTAAAAGAGGCATAAACATCTTCTGTTGATCCAGGCAATTTTGAACCAAGACTGGCATTGAAAACAGGGGCTTTCGCGTTTTAAACCCGCATTTAAAGCTGTCTTGTGTTTTACATGCTTTGTTCTAATCATATTTATTACAAATTGTTTTTAATATAGTCCGTTTATTTCAATTGTTGATGGAATATAAATTTATGTATTCAATATTGCGTTATTTAAAGTCGAAACAAATGTACATGGTATTATTAAAATCACAATTTTTTTTAAGAATTAAGGTTTCTCATGTAAATTGTAAATATTTATGATTAAAAATCTTTTTTATCAACAGGTGGCGTTACACTCGCCGATTCTCCTGGCAGCAGCAACGAAAACGACAGAGAGGACGCCTACTTTGACGACATTCGATCTTTTATGGGCAAAGTCAGTGGTTCCGATTACTACAACAATATGAGAGAGTTCGTTTCTCCGTCAAACAATAATATCGATGTTGTCAAAGAAGATAACAACGACGAATCTGCTTCTGAAGGAGGTGAGGACTATTTAACGTCAAAGTTAAACTTTGACACAAAGTGCAACCAAGAAAAAGAAGAAATACTTAATAATAACGACCAAACTGTAGAAGTATCGACTTAGTATCTCATTTGTACAAAAATTTATAAATTTGTTTATATATTTCCATGTTTGTTAGAATTTGTATCACACGGATTAGTAATTGTGTAATATCATGTACTGTAAACGGGTAAAACCTGTTTAGATTGTTTATGAAAGGGTGAATATTTATTGTAATATGTTTGCAAAACAAATTTTTTTCGTATTGGACATTGACAAAATGTCAAAGGTCTTTTAAAGCCACACAACTAATACTCCTGGTTAATCAATTGATTTATAAACTGCAATATTAACACTTAGAACATATTTAAAAAGGCACGACATTAGTTTTATTATCAATTTAAATTTTAGGGTGAATTATTTTAAAAAGTCTGTTGTTTCAATTTCAGAAAAAGTATTATAAAATTTCCAAAATTTCATACGATGCTATTCCAAATGAAATGAAGTTTTAGGAGAGTGTACAAAATGATCGTAAGCATCAATCTAATAAAATTACTGTAGGTTAAACAACTTTGCTTAAATTATTAATAAAATCTCATATGAATTTACAATAAATTAAGGATTGAAGCAGATACAGAGAGGGATAAAACGGAAGAGATAGAGAGTGAAAGAGTGAGAAAGGGAGTGAGAGAAAGTGAGGGAGACTTACAGACAAAGAGAGATACTTATAAAAATTAGAGATTAAAAAGATTGTCAGTCTAACTTTGTGCGCTCTGCCGATACTTCTTCTATCTTTTGGTGAATTATCTCTTGTTATTTTGCCCACTGCTCTTCAATTGGTTATACCCTGTATTGTCTTCCAATATCTTCACTCCCGTTTCGATTTTTCAGCGTAATTACGCTCAGTACTCTCTTTAAGTACGTTTCTAGTAGCCTTTATGTTATGGTTGTGTATGACTCAAGTCTTGTTTCCGATACGTATCTCATTATTAGTTTTATACTGGCTTTTTTGATGCTTCCTTTTTTTTCATATTATATATTTTATTTTAATGAAGACGGAGTACTTAAGATTAGCAGGTCCAACAAGGAGTATATGTGGTTGAAATAAACAGGAATGGTTGGAAATATCGAATGGTTTGGAGGAAAAACTAGGCCAAGTAAAGAATTTAAACTCCTTCTACATAACGGAAAATGGGACACAAAATCGCAAAAATGGCCATAGAATACAGGCTGGTTATTTTAAATGGTAGCAAATGAATTGTGTATTTTATGATTAAAAATCTAAGAAGGACTAAAAGGAAAATGTATATGAGTGTGGTGAGGCCTGCATTGTTTTCCGACAGTGAAGTGTTCAGGAAAAAAATGGGAGTAGCTTAAATGAAAATATTATGGTAAATATTGGGTAAGACCAGATGGGACAAGATCAGGAATGACTTAATTAGGGAAAGAGCATAAAACACAATGGACAGCAATAAGTAAGAAAAGAGAAAAAGGAAAGAGCTGAGAAAGAAGACTAGCTTTATAAGTTCTCGATTTTATCTAAGTGGGAATATATCGGTTTCGTCTTATAGTGTTATAAAGTTATTTTTACCGCCTATTTGCTTTTATACTTGATCTCTCTTTTCTATCAACTTTACCGTGACATATAATATTTTTTCATCAACTCTAGCACTTTTGCCATAGAACCAGTCACTATCACAATACACTATGTGGTCTTTGGTTGTAGTTTTCAGTCTTTTTCAGTTATATGTGTCGCTTCATTATGTTGTCTTTTAGAAATCAATTTTGTTGGTTTTTTCATAATGCAATTAGCCTTACATAAATCAGTTAATTGTAGACCTATTAGCCTGTTGAACCACATACACAAGCTTTTCACTAGGTTAGTGACATCAAGATTGAATAACAAATTAGATTTCTAACAAACCGAGAGAACAGGCAGGATTCCGTTTAAATTATGGTACCCCTGATCACCTCCATGCACACTCACTCATTGATAAATCTATAGAATACAACGAACCTCTTGTCCTCACTTTATATAGATAATAGACAACCTTATAGAAGCAATGAATGACAGCAAGATCGACCAATGGTATATTGAACTTATTTACAATATTTACAAAAAGCCAATATAACTGTTAAGATACACAATCAAACCCGACCAATACAAATAAAACGTGGGATAAGGCAAGGAGATATATTGTCACCGAAATTAATGGCATCATAGTAATAACGGCATTAGAGTCTGCATTTAAGATGGTCAATTGGGAACACATAAGAGTAACAATAGACGGCGAAAAGCTTAAGCATGACATTGTCATGTTAAATGAACTAGACTGCACGTTAGAAGGTGGGCCTCAGAATTAACTTAACCAAAACTATGTTTATGACAAATATGGTTCCTAATAACCATTTAACTATTCAAGACAAAGTGGTGGAATACTAAAGTGGTAATACTTATTCCAAATAATACACTGATGATAGTTTTTTAGTCCAAAACCGTTCTTATAGCCCGAAAAATATTTTTAATTATATACCTTTTATAACGGATTCTTACATAAAACTCTCTCCTTTCTTCCTTCAGGTCTATTCAGCTGAACAGTAATTGAAACTTATTTTTACTTCCATTACTTATTTCGTGCTGATGCCATTGATTTCTAATTTACATCTGGTTGGATGTTTACTCATAGTTTCTTCATCTACACTATATCTTCTTGGAGATGTATGTTGCAGATGGGGACAGGATGTTTGAAAGGGGTACAATTTTTATTTATTGAATGAATTGAATGTAATGTACTAAAGTCAATTTACCAATAACTAATGATATGCCTATTAAAAGAAATTGTAGTAAAATATGTCGTAGAGAGACAGTTTAAGAATTTTCGTTATCTTCATTGTCTGTTCTTCAATATTGCACTAATAAATTATATTACAAATGCATTTATGAAGAAAAACGTTGAAGTACCTATACGAAAAATATTTGTTCTGCAATTTCTTCTGTATCAAATGTACATAAATATTTAATAGTTATTAAGTATAATACAGGCAAGATTAAAAAAATTACATATGAAGTTCCTATGCTAATTTAAATATAAACACATTGCACGACGAATTCTTTATTATGCACTGTTTCAATAATCAAACCTATTTATGAATATTCGATAGACATATTGTTACGCCAAGAAAAGCATCTTCAGGATTTTTTCACTAAGATCTTTTTATAAAACATTGGTGTGATAAGAAAAGTTAAATACAGGTTTATTTATTATCATAAATAACAATCTGAACGATACCCAAAAAATATAATAAAAAAGTTTAAAATCTGTCTAAAATTAACCGCAATATGGACCTGAGGTCGTAAAATGACAAATAAAAATTAAAATGAAAAATGAGGCGCCTCGAAATTCATGATACACCTATGGTAGTGGACTTTTTTTCTTAGAACTTAGAATTTATCGTAGAATTAAGAAATAATTGTCTTCAGACGACAAATTTTTTTCCATATAAATTACTCTGCTCTGTATTAATATCTCAAAAGTATTCAGCAAGTGAATGCAGAGGTTTATTCGGTCATTTATGTTGTTGACTACCAATATAAAGAAAAAGTTTATAAGTAAACGCCTACAATGATGGATTAGCATACGTACACATCAATTTGTAGTTTTTCAGATGTTCTAGAAACTGTAAATTTATTCAACATATAGAGCAAATACTTGAACAAAAAACTTAACTAACTACAAAGCACTAAAGTCCATTAATTTAATTATCCGGTCAATTTAAATTTTGCCGATGGCTTCATTTGATTTTCTTGTGGTGACAACCAGAAGACACTAAGTCTTGCTTGTTTAGAAAATAGGAGCATCCTCACATTGTATTTATTCTATTTCTCAGAGGGTGGTTGTAGCTTCACAGTACGAATTGTTAAAAAGAGAATAATGAAAAAATATACGGGGTTCGTGGAATAATTGAATTGATTGAAGGCAATAAAGCAAATGGAAGTAAAAACTCTTTAATTGTTAGTTTTTTTTAACCCAAAATTAAATTATTGATTAAGAATAATTTCTACTATGATTATTGAGACGTCGCATATACTCTAATTAATACAGAATTATTAAAGCTTGGTGGTTTAGTGGAAAGAATGCCGTACTTTTACGTGGACTTTCAGGGTTCTAATCTCAAAATGTCTTTATTGTTTGGCTCAAAATGTCTCTATAGATAAAACTGAATTATGGTTTAGATTGCAATACTTTAAGTAATATTAAATATGTCGATAAAATGGATTGAGTGATTAACTAGTTATAGCTAGCTACAACTGTTACACCCTGGAATGAGTGGGTCAAACATTTCTTCATAATATTCTACGTTGGATCATAGCAATATTAAATCCCTTCACAGATATGGAGTCTCTCATCATTTCTAATTTCGTCTTTTCCATCTACTTCTTCAAGGAACTTGGATGGGCTTCTGGGTAATATAATTTTGGGGTTGAACATGACAACTCTGCTTTTTAAGCATTCTTATTTCAAGTTTGTTCTAGTTTTATTGAGGCCTCTTTGTAATGATACATCAATTACGCTTTAACTCTAATGCATATAATAACTGTATTTCATCATTGAATTTTCTTATCGGAAATTAAAACAAAAAAAATAATTCTTTTCTTCGTTCAAAGTTATCATATTTGTTCAAAGTTATCATCATAATTGTAGTACTTCAATAGAACTTCATTTTAAAATGAAAATTATTCTGGATAGGCAAATGAAATAAGAAAAAGACTTACTCACCATTAATTATTCTGCCACCAACGACCAGTTTCGCATACTATAATTTGCTATGTGTCTTCAGGTCTTAAGGTACATGGTTAACTAAATAATGCCGATACAAGGATTATTATTTAGTGTTTCAGAAAAAATAGTTTAAACTATTATGGTAAACTGTTGACGGGTGATCATCGGTTTTATTTTAACTATTTAACAAATATATGGAAAAGTTTACTATATTTGTAATATGCGAGACAGTTCGTTGGTGGTAGAAAAAATTGATTATGAGTAAGTCTTATTCTTATTTCTTTTACCTCTTTGAAATGGACT